GGATTTTTTCCCCAGATTTTCCCATTTTTTCCTGTTAAAGCCGTGTGATTGGTCAAGATGTGTGGCGGCGTCTGTGTATCTACACTGAGCAGGAGGGGGAGGGAGGGGTTACAGACACACACGGCACAGTGAGCACGTGAACCGGTGGGAGGGAGATGTGAGAGCGAGAGACCTTGGCGCTACATAGACAGAGACTAAACACTGGAAAGGGCGAGGAAAATGAGTGACAGGAAACGTAGTAAAGTTTGGACACATTTTAATGTGATAGTTCAAAGGCAGAGTGTACACTGTGCAAAGTTAAACATTTCATATCAAGCAGCTTTTTGTCTAATTAAGATGGGTCTTTGTTTTTGTGTTTTATAATTTATTTTTGTAGCACTCTATTCCATGTTGAGTATATTTATTAATCCATATAAATACTAAACATTTGATATAATGCATGTATTTACATTAGATATTCATTTTACACATAATTTGGTAATAAATTAATTTAAGCAAAAAAAAAAAATGAGGAGCCACTTGGGAGCCGAAAGAGCCGGCTCTTTTTAGTGAGCCGAGCCAAAGGAGTCGGTTCTCTAAAAAGAGCCGTAATTCCCATCACTAGCAGGAAGTAAACCGGATATGAGTTAGTACGCTTACGGTAGCACGTCACATGAGAGCCAGGGTCCTGGCATGATAAGTAAAGAAAGCAGAATAAACTTGCTCTGGCCACCGTTTTTCAACCCTGCTAATGTCGTTTTGTACCAAGTGAGTTTCCTGAAAAATGATATTGGATTTAATTTGCTTAATCCTTTTAAATACTTGTTTAAGTTTTACCAATTTATTCAAACCTCTTGTATTCCAGCTAGAGATTTTTAAATCTGACCTGTTAATCATGGGGCTCATCTGTTTTGTATTTGTACATAAGGATGGTATAACCGGAAGAATAAAAATAAAAAGTTGGTCTTTTTTGGGGCTTTTTATTGCCTTTATAACAGTGACAGCTGAAGACGCTCATATAGTTTCCTTGTCACGTGACACGGGCCAGCTCAATACGCCGCCAAGTACGGGGGTGACTTGGCACATAGTAATTGAAGTAAGCTATCCAAAACAGTTGAAAGTAATGCATGCACCCCCAATTCTTATTTGTTAGTTGATATCGATATTTGTTTAAGGAAATCGATGCCAAATGAGTAGAGTGTATCGATATACCGATACCACAGGATCGATACACCCATCCCTAAGACTGACACAATGTTTTAGGCTACCTAACATTGAAAACAAATAGATTGAGCACGGTCTTCAGTAAATCAAAAGTTGGGAAAAGATCAACTTCTGCCCCCGTGACGGACTTGAAAACCAGACACTCCGCGTTGTGAGTGACCACCAGGTGGGCTGGGTACAGCAGCCCGTAGCGGATATATAGGGCACTTAATTACTTAATTCACAGTTTATCACACCACAAATGAGTCAAGAATTTGTCGGAATGCTAGATGAAAACAGACGGCGACCGGGCCTCACGGATTACTGTACAGACATTATATATACTGTCAATGGTACAACACACAACTTTAAACTTTATTCACTGATTTGGTGAAAGTGGATGATATTTCATGGAGAAAATATTATCTGGTTGTTATTAAAGTATGCAGCTAGCTAGTTAACTTAAGCTGAGTACTGGAGTTAGCTGAGGTCAGTGTGAATACAGTCGACCTGTGACAGATGGAGACCAGTCTGACGACAGGGAAGCCAAGGTGGTTTTCTTGCAAGGTTTGGCTCCTGGCACCCCGGAGCTGACCCCACCGTAAGCCCCACTCAGGCCTTCAGAAGTGGGTGCTGACGCCCAACCTCACACAGATGTCCATACGCATTAACATTTCTGCCACGGCAGAAGTTTAGCAAAATACATGTGTAAAAAGAGCCAATTAAGAGACCCGCCTGAGTTGTAACCAATGATTTGTCTATATTTCCAGCTCGTGGAGCATATACGTAAGACTTTCAGCCATTAATATGTATGTCTGCATTTACAGATTACACTGTTTGTGTAGCTTGTTTGCATTAGCAACGTTACATGTTTCTTACCTTCTGAAGACATTCAATGACTTTGCTAATGTAGTCCTTCTGACAGTCATATGGAGGAAAAGGGAAATTCACCGTCACTCCGTTCAGAGTTAGTGAAGACATCGTGTCTCCTCGCTGAAGTCAGCAGCGGCCTTAATCAACTTAGTGTTCTAAATTACGCACTTCCCGCCGGTTTAACTGATAAACGCTGTGAAACGTTGTTAAACGGGTAAAACGTCGACTGCTGTAGTTGTAGTGGCCATTAATTACTTCAGTCAGAGCCTACTCAATTCTCTAATCGGGTCTGTACTTGGCGCCAGATTTCCGCTCATGCGCACTGTGATGACGTCCCTCTGCTGCGTTCAGGTGCTCAGAGAATATGAACACACTGAAGTGTCAGCGGGACTGTGAATGGTGACAGTTAGATCACTGGTTCCCAACTTTGTTCCTTAAGGGACTCCTTTTCAATCATTGAATAAACTGACGGTTTTTTATGGATATTTCATATTATACTCAATGCATAACAGTAACAATAGAGAACAACTGATAAACTGCAAATTGAATCCAAATAGTGAGCATTAATTGCAGGGAGTTTTTGTAAAATAAGTGATGAGGAAGAATTTTGAGCAGATTATTACAGAGATCATGATATTTTTTTAATAGGTGGAAAGCATTTGGTAGATTTTTCACCACATATTCAATTTCCTACTTGTGGATTTTAATCAGTGGGATCAAGAAGAATATTGACTGTTAGTTATTATTTGCAGGATTGGGCATCAAACCTCTTTTCTCTTTTGGTACTGACCACAATGTCAGCCGCCATTAAAAGGGTTCAATCATTGCAGATTTACCTTTAATTCATGATTCAGAAACATCCAAGCTGCTGTTTCAAAAAGTCATTGTCCACACATAATAATTACATAATTTATTCTATTATAGTGAAATACAATAATCATGAAGTACAGTGAGTGGATTTTGGACATCCTATGCCTCTCCAGCTGTGGGCAGAACTATCTTGTTTGGGTCGAAGTAGTTCTCCTCTATGAGAGGAAGACCCTCTTTCTCTCTCTGCTCGATCAAACGCTCTGCCTCCCTTCTGGCCCACTGCCTCATGCTGAAACATATACACACACAAAAAGACAAAGCAAGAGAGACATATTTGAGACTAAAGATTAACAATAAATCCCAAACAACTTTGAAAACATTGCATTCTTCTGCTGAGACCTAATCTGTATGTTCAGAATCAGAATCAGAATCACTTTATTGGCCCAGTATGTGCACATACAAGGAATCTGACTAATACGTTGCTCTCAATGAAAAACACTGACTTGGCATAAAAAACAGGACCTAACAAAATAGACATAACATGTACAGTTATAAATAAAACTCAATAAACAAACAAGAATGTGCTTTTGCAGTCAGTGTAGAGGGAACATCCATAATGCATCCATTATTTTTGCCACTTGAGGCTGAATTGTTTATTTATTCTGTGCTGTGTTATACTATACTAATCTTCTGATATATTTAGAATCATTACCGCTTCATATCATTCAACTGGTGTCTATTTCTTAAAATAATTTAATTAACATCACAAAAGTTCAACGACAAAAAACGACAAAACTACTGCTTTTGTCCACAGGGGAAGCCAGAATACAGGTACAGAGCCCCAAAGGCCCAAAAGATTTGATTTATTTTAATCTTGTGCCCTCAAAAAAGTTGGTATTCAAGGGGTTGACAGATGAGAACTGCAGAGTTCTGCAAGTGATAATTGTCCATGGGTTCACCACCACGAGTTACACACTGATCCTTTGTTTAGATTGAATGTCTGTGTTTTTGAACGGTTATGCCCCTACAAGTGGATAACCTTGACTTGTACTCTGTGCACTGACTGATATTGTTTTTCTATTGTAATCTTTGCCTGTGGTGAACTTCTTCTTCTGTGTTTAAAAAGCGGCTGAATGAGACACTTGTTATTTATACAAACTGAACAGCTAAACTAATTTAACTCTGAAACATAAACTGCTTTTGATTTTGTTTAAACCATTTTAGAAATGGGTTAATTCAACTTTAGAGGCTGCCGTTGAATTGTATTGTTTCTAATACTTAGTCTACCCTCATTGGTATAAATGGGGTGTGATGCAAAGCTTAGAGTAGAGGGCAACTGGCAACAGCCCAATTATCCTGTACTGAAATGAGCTGAATACAAGGGAATTTGGATGCTATTTCAATAATATTTCGATCAGTTGTGCAGCTCTACATGAGACTTTGCTCATTGAAAGACTTACTTGACAGCAAAAACGCAAAAATTACTGCAGATATGAAAAGATGAAAAACTTAAAACTCACCCATGGTCGGGTAAATAGTGGATAAATGTTCCACCAATTACAAGAGCCACAGAGATGCCAAAGAAGAAGCCCACCCTCATGTTCCACTCATCCACCACAGGGTCGCTGGAGAAGCCATGGTAATCTGGATTCTGACAAAACACAAAGGGGGGCATATTATATGTGATTGGCATCCGATGCAGCGCAGACATTCAACTGGTTTCACTGCCATGTTTTCAGTGTTCATTTTTTTATTAATTATACCACCTTGGATCAGGACAGGACAGGAAGGTTGTTTTCAGGCTCAGACAACATAAACTATGACAGCTGGGTTTAAAACAGCAACATTCATATTCAGACTCCCCTGACAGGCTAAGAAACTATGACACAGTACCCACTTATACGTGATATTAGGTTGAACACAGCCGTATCTTGGAGATCTAACAGCGAGTTTGTCAGTGCCCTGACAAAAAAATACACTATAGTGACAAAGGAATATTCCAAACAAGTACTATAATTATTGTGCATCTCTAATATTTAGAGAAGGAGGCAAGAACATTTCCATATTCCATATTCTCAGATATTTAGTTTCTTTCTATGGAGCTGCTGTAACGTGGGATCAATAAAGTCTTACCTTATCTTGGTCAAAATACACATATGTGTATATACACACACATACATCTATATATGTACATGCCTCACAGTGTGTATTCTTGTATTTGTAATATACATAATGCCACCCCAGGGAAAATAAAACTTTGGACTTATTGTATGCAAACATCAAGGATGCATACACCTCATGGCTGAAACAGAATAACGCCAGGGATGTCTTGAGAGGGCTGCAGAACATCTCAGGCCATGGAAAAGGATTGTGAAGAAACCAAGCCAGCAGGGGCAAGGACTGGGCAGATGAACTGAATCTGTTTTTCTACAGATTTGATTATTCCTCCTCTCCCTCCCTCACCCACCCTGCTCCCACTTCACAATTCCCCTGGTCAGCTCCCCCTCCACTCCTCAGCCTGCCATCTTCAACCCCTGACCCCCACCAGCCCACTCCTGATAGTTTCTGTTTCCAATTACCACCACTACTCACCATAGCTTTTGTCTTTAATCTGTATTTATTTTTTTCACTCCAATTACTTACTTGCTGCTGTGACGAGTGAATTCCCCCGTTGTAGGATGAATAGAGTATAAAGTTTAATCTAATCTATTTATTTTTATTGTCTTTCTGTGTACTCTTTAATGCTTTTCTGTCTGTTGTGTTGTGTGTTGATGGGTCTAGATTTGTAGTCCAAGTCAAATTTCCCCATGGGGACATCAGCATCTGTCTAGTCTATCCACTCTGTTTATCTAGCAATGTTTTAATCTAATGTGTGCACTTAGTATTAGTATTTCCATCTTCTTAATTATAAATTATGTTTTCTTACATTTAAGTTTAAATCCATTTAGCAAGTGTTTTATGTAGCTTTTCGATTCTTGTCAAAGAACAGAAACCAAAAAAGAAACAAAACTGAATTTAGTAACCTGAGTAAACTGTAATGCTGTATACAAATGTGTTAGCTCTAACTAGCTAACATTAGCTATAGTCAAATTAGCTGACTAAGTTCACTGCAGGTCTACTTTGTAGAAGCAGTGACGCCCTACATGACGTATATGATTATGTTAGTGTATACTTAGGTAACAACTGTATGCATGTCAGTGTAAGTGACATAAACCGAACCAACTATCATGGAGAGGTGCTCACCTTGACATACTGGCTGACCTCACCGTGTCCAGCCGTCTGCCCGGCAGGGTGCAGCTCCGTCACAGCGGTCGAACCAGCGCCTGAGCTCGGTTTGGACTGGGAGACGAACCGAGCCGGTGGATTAGACAATAACTGCTGGAAAGCAGGGCCGAACCGTGACAATCGGGTCAACATTTCGCCTGTTTGTGAAGGATAGTGTTGACCTGGAACAGGAAACAGACGCTCTTACGCCTCTTCTTCGTCTTTTTCTAAAGATTGACGCATACATTACGGCCACCAAGAGGTGGTCGACGGCAATGCACCATTAGGATTCTGCTCTAGCTGTGGTTAAAGGTCCAGTGTGCAACGCTTAGGGGGATTTACCGGGAGAAATGGAATACAATATTCATAGGTATGTTTTAATTAGCGTTTAATCACTTGAATGTATTTATTTATTTAAAATAAAAATTCTTGTTGAGAGTTTTGATCTGGTTTTTCGACGTGAAACTATTTAACAATTCCCCCCCCTCCAGTAAAGCTGGAGAGGTGCCAGCATGCCAGATTATTCAATATCATAGCATACTCCAAATTGTACACTTTTGTTGGCCTGTCATGCTTCGCACGTAACTTCAATCAAACCAAAAACACAGTTGCAATGATTATTTATTTGTGTTCAATATACAGTCAGTAACATTGTTGTGTGTTGTGTGATTAAAAAATCTAACTTTTGTGCACATATATAATTTGAGATAAACTATTTTTTTTGTTGTTTTTTTTTACAAATGCCCATATTGCCAGCTCATAGTCCAGCCAGCCCAGTTACTTCAGTTCTTTTTAAATATGCTATTAAATACCGATATACAAAAAGAAGTGAAACCAAATCTAAGGGTCTTCTGAAGATGTAAGAATTACTTTGGTTCCTGTTTCAAACAGAAGAATGATTTCTGTATTTGAGGTGGCCCTATCACATTTCCTGTTTAGCCTAGCTTTCTGCAATAGAGATTACTGAGTATAGGCCACTGAAAACAAAGCATAACTTAAATGTAAACAAACAAACAAACAACAAATTGGGCAATTTAAAAATGTTCCCTGACATTCTGGTGCCCGTATACCCCCATATTTTCACACACAACAGAACCGTGTTGAGGTCTAAAACATCAATAATGAGCTGGGGGTCACTATTAAATAAATCAGGAGATGTATATTTTTACTAGTTCCTCCAGGAAGTTGCAATTGCATCAATTTAATGCAAATTCAAGACTTCCAATCACCGCACATTTGACCAGTGTAGTTTCCTGCGAGTTTCAGCAATCATAGCAGCAGTCCACCGTGCAACATGCTGAGCTGTGTCCAAACTACTAGTGATTTTATTATTTGATTTTATGATATCTTCTAATTAATTAGTTGTTGCAATTTTCACTTTCTCCCAAAAATTAAATGCAAAAAATGCCTAAACACATCACAACATACTGTACATCGCAATTTTTTAGAAAAGCTTGAAATCAGGCATTTTTGGCTGCAACAATCCCCCCAAAAAGCCAACAAAATCCTGGAAGGACTGATTTATTATCACATGACACTGTGTTTGAAAGAGGACCCTTTCTCTCCAATGCTGGAGCCATGCACAGCACTTAATCTGCATTAATTTAATCCATATCAAAGTGCACGCCAAATAAAGCTAAGTCATAGGAATATTTTTTTTACCTTGAAAACACAAAAACTAAAAATTATATTATGGCTCCACATGAGCATATTGTTGCTGACCGGAGGCTTTCTTGTGTTGCAATTTGAATTTCTTGTGAACATTTAAGGATAGCTCAGCCCTTTCAATTACGCAGTTAAGGTAACATAGGATGAGGGGTTAGTTACAACTCACTAGCCGCAGCCCGACACTTTCTCACATCAGACGGGGCGGCTGTGATGCAGACGCAGAGCGGGTCGTCCCTTAATCGGAAGGTTCGATCCCTGGCTCCTCCTGCCACATGTTGAAGTATCCTTGAGCAAGATACTGAACCCCAAGTTGCTCCCGATGCTGTGCATCGGTGTGTGAATGTGTATGAATGTGTTACGTCTCTGTTCGATGGGCTTTGCCATCACTCAGTGAATGTGTGTGAAAGGGTGAATGTGGCACGAAGTGTAAAAGCGCTTTGAATGGTCGGAAGACTAGAAAGGCGCCATACAAGTATAGGTCCATTTACATGTTAACAATACATCTTTAGGCCCAACTCTATAATTTAAATATCACTCAGATATAACCTATAAGCCTATAACCGGCTTTTAAATTAGCCCATACAATGACACAATAAAGACAGATATTAAGAGCACAAAAGAAAATAAATACAAATCAAGTCTATTGATCCACCAAGTGAGGCACTTCTCTGCCAAAACATTGGACATCCTATTTGACATCACATCATATTCAAATTTATGATCAACATAAGAATAAAGATATTGATTATACAGCCACTTACTACCTTCTCATCACCAATCACACAAAGGCATAAAGATGTACATTACTTACTTGACAACTGTTGCAATTTGAATCCACCACATACAGTGTGTCAACACCAATCTACATCATCTTCCTAATGTGTAAAATTGTTATATGAGAAGATTTCACTATTACCTATGATGTCATTGATACAGAAATGACGAGCTGCATTGCCCTATTGTAACTTGCTATGTAGCAATAATCAGGTATAAGAAGTTAGACCGAAAAATTAATTGGAATTATTACAATAACAATTATAATAATAGCTTGTTTGCAGTCACTTGATTCTGATTCCATGAAATTCAAGACAGTGGGCAGCAAGGGAAAAAGGAGAATGGATGAGATGGAGTATTTATAACCAGAGAAAAGTACATACAGAAAATTACAACATATTGGACGTGATTCAGAGGACACATTTTTCTTCGCGAGCTCCTTGCGATTTCTCAGTTTGATCGATAAGCTTTATGGTCTATAAAAGCCAAAGAATGTTTGTTCTTCCATGTACTTGAGTGGAAAAAATCAATTTACATTTGAAGACTCAGAACTGTTTGTTTTTGTGTTAACAGCAGTGATGTCAGATTTGCATCCACAAAACTATGGAATGTCATCAATCTCTACTCACTACATCTTAACCTGGCTTACCCTCAGATGTGCATAAACTACAATTTCTTGATGAGGCAATGAAAAGTAGGTAACTATCAGTTATCATATCGGCTGAAAAACAATCCAAATTGTGCACCCCTTTTAATGTTTTTTCGTGAATAACTTGACACATAAATAGCTTCACCTGTTGCAGCTGTCAGACTTTAGACAACTGGTATTAGAAGTCCTCAGGTGTGATTGGCTGAGACACATTCAAAGTTGTAAAAACAAACAAAACAAAAACATATACTGTATCTGTGACTGTGTTAGAATTAATTAGCTAACTGTAAATGTCACTGATACATAATCATTGCACTAACCCAAAATTTCTAATGTTGCACGTTTAAAACTTCAGTCACACATGTCCCACCTACCCTGCACTTAAAATCACTGGGAAAAAATTCAAATCATGTCATATAAGCTTTTTTACAGTAGCCATTTAAGCAACATTAAGAAATTGTAAGATTATCAATCTCATGGCAACATGAATTCATTTAGTCTCATCTACAGCAAAAACATAAATGCTATGAATCTTGAAGTGGTGGAATGTACGGGCCACAGCAACATTATTGCATTTAGACCCATCTCTCTGGGTATACTACTATGCCACCAAGATCAGATACAACAGCACATGGGAAGAGTTAAAGGTAAAATCCAACCAACAACACTTGTACAAAACATCTTTAGGCTGAGATAAGACAGAGGATATCATCAGGGTTATATTCTCAAATTGTGTTCAGACAGAAAGTGAAGCCTTGCCTGGCGCTCTGGAAATACTGGATTTTAATGCTGAATTTTGAGCTTTGAGATTACAAATATACCACTGAATATGCCATTTGAACTGATGAAAAAAAACACCATTGATTTCCCCATAAAAATCTGTGTAGGGAATGCTTGGGTCTGAATCACAGAGTGCTGAGGTCACAAATGGGGCTAGGATATCGCTAGAAGAGCAAAATGCTTGAATGCTTCAAGCTTTAGTGGCCAGTCACAGCAGAAAATGCGATTTAAATTAATTTCTGTCTCCTCCTGAAATTAGTTAATACAATTATTTAAAGCAATGATTGATCATGCTGAATCTCTTTTGTGGAGCAGCTTCTACTTTGGCAGAGCATGGTACAACACTGGATGTCAGCCAATTTATATGACAGCTTCTTCTGTTTTAGACTGTTCCCAAAAAGGTCAGCACTGTCAATACAGTCTTAATTGGTCAACTTTGCGAATGTGTGTCAAAGATGAAATCTACGCAAAAGCTCCGCACAGATAATCAACTGACCACTGTTTCTTTGAAATGATGATTTTGGTCTAAAATTTCATTCTTTTAAATGCTGATGTATTCGGGGGTTTAAAGTCTGTTCAGAGGCAAAGTAAATTTTCACCTTTTTCACTTGTGTTGTTAGTGCGAATTATACTGCATTTATTTGCCCTAAAAGGCCAGTGATGTTGCAGATTTTAGTTGTAGGTCACCAGCAACATAAACACAGACTGTGTACAGCTCAGCCTCCGACTAATCTTATTAGTTATTTCACTGCAGTTTACCTCTCGTCTCTTGTACTGGTTGCTTTAGTTAAGACACTTGTGTTGCTTATTGGACATAACATCAGCTATAAACAGTTAATTAAGGGGGCAACACAGGCTAAATGCACAAAGTGGCTTAACTTTTGTTGGTCCTGGCAAAACTTATTCCGCCAAACTGTCTGAATTACAGGGTTGATCATTTTTCGCAACAGCAACGATCGATAACACAGGATAAGAGGATACAATGAGAAGTTAAGCTCTTTCATCCACTCTTGAAGAACAGACAAACAACTTGAAAGGTTGATGATATAATATTACAATGACTACAGACAAGGAATATATGTATTGAGGCATACACAGAATGAGAATATTATTAATAGCCCAAGTAAATGTGGGAGGCTGTCTAAAAAACGATTGACAGCTCCAATGGGCCACAACAGTCTACTGAGGACTTCACTGAGGATGTGAAGTAAGTGATGCATGACATAATCAGGAAGTGGGAGAAACAGAAACTTGAGCTGTTGGGGAGGGAATAGTGGTTGCGAAGTTATAGGTCGAGTTTGGAGATGACGACCGAGGTGATGCTAAAGGGCTGAAAATGGGCCTAGCAGAGATGGTAGAAGAAGGGGAGTGTTGAGCAGCAGTGGCTGCTGTTGGGGAGTCTGAGCTAACCTCATCCCCTTCTTCTGAGTCCCAGACTTCACTCTGCAAGTAGTCTGCAAATAAGGCCTTTGCTCGCTGCAGCACCCTGCTCAGGTTGTGGCGCCGCACAAGGCGGTCAAAGTGCATGGCTAGCTCATTGTAATCCAAACTGTTCTTGATGATGTGGTCTCGGTGCTCCAACAGGATGGATAGACACAGGAACAGCATGAAGGGATTTCCTTTGCCGAACTCTTGGGGAGGCGGCAGGGAACATGGTTTGATGCTGGTGGTCTCAGCTTTTGAAGAACTGGGTGTGTTAGCTGTGGTGCTGGGAGATTTGTTGCCAGGTGAAGGAAGATTGCTGGAGTATGACCGGCTGCCAGACAGTGAGGGGCCTCTTCCAAACAAAATGGGTGAAGATAATAGGGATCGATTGTGGGAGGGAGATGCGACAGATGTTTTTATGGTGGGGGTTGTGGGCGAGTTAATTCCTGTACTGCTGAGCACTTGGGCAGATGAGGTCAGTGCTTTTGAGATTGTTCTTGGAAAGGCATTTCTTCCATTGTTTGTGGATGGGGATGGAGAAGAGGTTTGTGGAGGAGAGTCTGGAGAAGCACCTGGCCAGCTGGAGGGTGACGCTGAAGATGTGGGAGAGACACAATGGCCAGTTTTCCAGATTGGTAGGCCAATAGGAAAGAGAGGAGATGATGACATTGGAGAGAAAGCATTGTCACAGTTTTTTATGAGAGGTGTTCTCTCACCCGGGTCCTCCTCACTGTCAACTGTAGACCGGCGCCTTGGGACACTTGTTACTGATTTTAAAGCCACCAAGCCCTGTGGCTGTTCAGTATCCTCCATTTCAAAGCTATCTTCATTTCGGGCAGTATAGTATTTAAACTCTCCGAAACTAGTTTGCCTCTCTAAAGGAGGAGCCTGCAAATCTGCCTTTTCCATGGTCACTTGAAGAATATCACATCCAGTGCCCTCGCTTCCCTTTCCAGCACTTACATCTTTTTGTTCTATGACAGCATTCCTGCTCACAACTGATTCTTCTCTTGAAGGCCTCAGCATGTGTCGTCTACGCTGCTTTTCTTTTTGTTCCCTATCATCTCTGTGGCAATTCTCAACTGTCTTGTCCTTGCAGGACATTGTTTCATCTGTCTCCAGTGGTGGCCCCAGGAGCTCCACCTCGGTTTCAGGAGGATCCGGGGGCAGTGAGCTCCAGGTAACCTCGAGCATCCTCAAAGCATCATCAAACGCAAACTCTCGCTTGAGTTCCAGAAGCAGCCAGCGGTAACAGAAGAAGAGGTCATCAGCTCCTCGGGACACCAGGTAAGAGTAAAATTCAGGATCCGAGTACTGCAGAAGCATCTTAAGATGCTGGAACTTAATAGACATGAGCTGCCCATCTGGCCGGAAGTTACCCTCCAGCCGTTTCATAATGCCACAAAAGCAAATGAAGGCATGTGCCTCATTGTCCATTACCGCAAGTATAGGGGAGGCGATATCACTCATGCCTTGACAGTAGGATATCTGAAAAACAACACACCCACACAAAGTTACAGTCTGCAGTTTACAGAGAAAAGCTGAATTCTGAATCATGTAGAAATATAAGCATACTTTTATGAATAGGGTTTAATTCAGTGGTTAACCAGGGGTCTCATTTAACACATATACACTCATTTCGAAGTATAGAATCTGATTTAACCATTTTCTCTTTTTGCCTGAGAATGTGCGTACAACCAACCAACAAACCCCTTGTGGTACACAGTTATAATCATTGGGCAAACCAATTCTAAAATAACAGATATAGAAACCCACTCTCAATGCGGGTTGTCACGGTAAAGGAATTTCACGTACGGTGATTTTATGGTAACTCAACAAGGCAGTATTCATTATTACTGCCATTTTTGTTGTTTTTGCTTATTACTTTAGGGGCACACTGGGATAACATTCCATCTCAGTACTTGCTTGTACTAATCACGCACACTCTCACACACATATATTCAGTACAGTTTAAAAGTCCTTTTCAATGTGTGAACACTGTGAGCGTGCCAGATGTAGCAGTCACACGCCATAGACACCTTGAGCTTTTCAGGCAGCCTATGTGACAGGGTGTAAGACAGGTATATTTTCGGTTATGCTTAAAGTCATAATCTGTAACATTTCTGCTTTAAAATGTCTATTACCACTATACCTATGGTCTACATGGTTTTAGCCCTGATTTTGTTGCTGATCAGTAACATAGTGTGTAAACCACAACTTCAAATTACAAGACAGAAGGTTGTGTGGTGTGAACAGTACAGAGATCTGATGACTTTGAAAGTCATGTGGTGTGTCCAAGGCTTTACACACGGTTTGCCTCACTTCTCTCCCTCTGCGACTCCCCTTTCCTGACAGTTTGAAAACCGCTACATTAACAGATTCAAAGCATGATTCATTTAGCAGAGATAGATTAGATAAATTGCCATCAAACTCCAACACAGGTATAAGCCAACTGATTGAAGAGCAGTACACACCTGTGGATGAGTGACAGCAAATGTGGTGAGCAGGTCTGTGAGGGCAGTCAAATGTGGACTGTCTTCTGAGCCTGCATAGTATGGATGAGCCCGGTCTGTCCTGAGGACGTCTTTAAGAACATTCCCACGTATAAATTCAAGGTCCTCGTTGCTGACCTGGGCCGTCCACTCTCTCTTCAGCTGGTCATACTCCCTTGTCTTCCTCTTCATGTAGTCCATTCTTTCCTGTCCACTCAGTCCATCGGGGTAGACGTTCAGGAGGTATCGCCAAACAACCTAATACAAGTAGGCAATACCTAATTAGCTTATAGAATTTAAATTGTCACATTTTGTGTGTGCAGGACACACAGGAAGAAACTCGGGCTGTTTTTTTTCTTTGGGGGACAGAGGGAACTAAGTCTGCTGAAATTAAAAGGTGGTACATATTTTGGTTTCTTTTATTGCTGAAATACTATGCCAAGAATAATAGGATTCAACAAGAACCAGAATTGACAAGCAAAATACACTAAACAAAATTATAAACGCAACACTTTTGTTTTTGCCCCCATTCATCATGAGCTGAACTCAAAGATCTAAGACTTTCTCCATGTACACAAAAGGCCTATTTCTCTCAAATATTGTTCACAAATCTGTCAAAATCTGTGTTAGTGAGCACTTCTCCTTTGCCGAGATAATCCATCCACCTCACAGGTGTGGCATATCAAGATGCTGATCAGACAGCATGGGTATTGCACAGGTGTGCCTTAGACTGGCCACAATAAAAGGCCACTCGAAAACGTGCAGTTGCATCACACAGCACAAAAAAATGTCGCAAGTTTTGAGGGAGCGTGCAATTGGCATGCTGACTGCAGGAATGTCCACCAGAGCTGTTGGCCGTGAACTGAATGTTCATTTCTCTACCATAAGCTGTCTCCAAAGGCGTTTCAGAGAATTTGGCAGTACATCCAACCGGCCTCACAACCTCTGACCACGTGTAACCACACCAGCCCAGGACCTCCACATCCAGCATCTTCACCTCCAAGATCATCTGAAACCATTTTGAAGTTTTTCCGATAAATTAAAAAGGAGGAGTTTGTTCAAATAAAACGAGAAAAAAGGCCAAAAATGGCCGCAAAATTCAAAATGGCCGACTTCGACACAGAAACACCCTTCAACATACAGTCACAAATAGCACAACTTTTAAGCAGCAATATTTTTGGACTGTACTGACCAATTTTGAAGTTTATCCGATAAATTTCCTAGGAGTAATGCATTCAAATCTGATCAACCTGCTAGGAGTAGTACATGAAAGTACAAATCGGGACATTTCCTTTCACCACTAGGTGGCACTATGAATATTACTGTATATTATCACATAGTCGTGTTCAGGGCGGGACCATGTCAGAAAAGTTATGACAACTTCCTGTTTCATGGCCAAACATCAAAACTTGGCACCATGCCATGGGCACGCCCTCTGACAAAAAGTCACAAATAGCACAACTTTTAATTGTGAATGTCTTTAGATGGCTGTGTCCAAATGTGAAGTCGAGCAGATTATTCCATAGGAGTTAAAATACAACATCGCCAGAAATGACAGCTAAATCCAAAATGGCCGACTTCCTGTTGGGTTTGGGATATGGCTCCCACTGGATTTTTCTGTACGCCTGGATAAGATCTACGCGTGTGCTTATTTTTATGCATATCAGTGAAAGCGGCCCCAGGTGGTACAGTTTATGGGACCCCGAGGAGCCATTTTTCCAATGCGAGATCTCCCTCTTTGCTGGTGCTCTCTAATGTTTTGTAAATGGTCATTTAGGATACTGTCATACTTTGCCAACAGCTCAATTATGCTAAGAAAATGTCCATTGTCTGGCTCATCTAGTGTATTTGTGCTGTAATTTCTGTATTTTATATTCAATATAAGATCATCCCATCTATGGAATTTAGTGCACTAGTTGGATTTTTCTCTACCTCAAAAGGAGAACAGCAAGCGTGGTAGGCAAAATAAGGCCTTCTTTGAACTGCTATATACTATCCAGTCCCTATCGAATTTTTCCCTTACATTGTGGGATTCAGAATATGTCAAATAGTTTGGGAATTCCCTGCCCTCTGCATCTGCTGGCAATTCCTTTGCCCTCTCTGAGAAAGGCGTTCGTTTTGCCATCACACGTAGGTAGGATAGAGGTTCACTCTATCAGAGTCGGTCATTCTAGTTAGCCATAATGCAGGATCGCTGAAATTAAGTGTGTGATCAGTCTCTGATCCATCCTGCTCAGACTCTCCGACGGGGCAGCGCCCCCTCCCGCTCCACTGTGACTTGAGCACCGGACTTGTGCTGACCGGACATTTTGAGCGTACTGAACTTCAAATCAAATGATAACATCAAATCTTGATCTGTGGCCAAACCATTTGGGGGGGGGGGGGGGGGTTCTTAACCACTATTTCAAGGACAATTAGGAAGAAAACAAATAAAAAGCTTTTATGTAACTCAAATATTACATTAAAAATGTTTTTTTAAATTATTCCATAATTTAATGAGGGCCCAGTTCTGCCCCCCCCGCCCCACCCTGGGCCCGGGACAACAGATCCTTTTGTCCCCCCTATCGGCGGGAGTGCTCATAGTCAGAAAATACCGAATTTTTTTCGCCACGACTGACATGTGCGCCACGTTTCATGAGTTTTCAAGCATGGGAAAGCCTCCAAAAATGTTCATTTGATATTAAAATAACAAGAAAAATTCCTATGGATACAACAGGGCCTTTGCACGGTCAGTGTTCATGCCCTAATAATAATAATAATAATAATAATAATAATAAAAATGTAACTGATACCCAACCCTGTATATTTGGAGTCTGCAGAGCATGGGATTGGAATGTAATGCGAATAGAACACAGATGTTACACCTTGCGCAGTGAGGGCTCCACACCACCATGGTAGATACGCAGTCTGAGTTCTTCAGGTCGTGTCAACTGGCCTTGTCCATTGAGGTAACTGTGAAATTCAGCATCAGTCAGAGGGGGCTTGAAAGGCTTGATCTCCTCCCCATAAGACCAGCTGAAGGCCTGCTGGACTTTGGACAGAGTTCGGCCCACCTGAACACAAGTGAAACAAGTGCATCAGCAAAAACCCTGACGCACAGACAGTAAAAAGTAAAAGTGAATGCGTGAGAAAGATTAAAGAAGGTGGAGGTACCTGTGACAATAGCGACTGGGTAAAGGGAAGAGCTGCAGATGCCAAAGACCTGGTCCTGTCTGCAAGAAGTTGTTCAGTGCCAATCACATCTTTTGGGCTTATGATGTCCCAATCCTCCATAACAGGACCTGCAGTTGAACAAAATGTACTAGATGAAACAATCATCTCATTTATTTTTTATACTCCCTACTGAAGGAAATTTCACAAAATTTGTTTAATAAAACAGAAACTACACATTGTATGTTAAGTTTAGGTCCATTTCACAAAATGTAAATTTTCTGTAGATGCCACATTTGGCACAATTCTACACTTTATATTCTCTGTAATATATAAAGTCCTCTTACTGTCTTCTGAAGGTTTTATGTCCATCTTGAGCTGTAGATACGGTTTGGCTGCACTGACAAATGCAACGTCCAAATCCCAGTCAGACACCAGAGACATATACATTTCAGCACCACTCCGATCTCGAGACAGGTAACTGATCCCAAAATTCCGCTTTCTAGTTAGAAAGATGAACAAAAAAAAAAAAAAAATGCTGGCATACATAACATACATACATAAGACCAACTCTGACAGCCTTTCTTTGTATAATAGTTTTAACGGGGCGATCACTCTTACCCATTCAAATCAAAGGCTCTGATAAGTATGTGCTGCAGCACCTCCAGTGATGTTATCTGAGGATCCACAGCAAAGGAGCGAAACTCCACTGGAAGAACCCCATCACATTTCTGAAAAGCATTACATCACAATCTCTTTAATCAGTAGTATCACCATTGACAAATGTAAAAAGAAAAAGAAAAAAAAATACATGCTGTGGGAAAAACGTGGAATTAATACTATGGTATAATATAAAAACAATATACCAATACAGTACTGTGTAATAACTAGGGATGCACCGATCCACATTTTTTCACTTCTGATCCGATCCCGATACCTGAATTTGGATATCTGCCGATACCGATACTATTCCGATACCAGAGCTCTGTTTGCTTTAATATTATTATCATTATTGTTGATTTTATATGAGGCTGAAATAAACTCCTCTCAACAGGCAAGTATGATATGTACGTATGTATGCAAAAATCCTCGTGCTCTTTCGTGTGGTGCTTTTTTAAATGTTTGATTGCGTTCATAGTGTTGTACGACTCGAGGGAGCTTCCGCCTCTCTGAATCACAGCTTTGCTAGCTGGCTGCAAACTGTGGAATGGATTTCCTGAGCGGGGGCGTGTCTCATAACTCTGTCTCATTGAGCCGCGCCTCCGTTCAGGAAATCCATTTTGCATCAAGTTTGCAGCCAGCTAGCAGACCAGCCGGCAGGAATCACTTGTGGAGTCATTTCAGCAGACAACGTTAAAGTGTAGACATGGCTCATGGATATCGGATATCTCCGCAGGTTGGATCGTGAAATTCCGATCCGTGAATTATGCTGGTATATGTCCAGATACCGATACTGGATCGGAAAATTAAAGTAAGGAAAATAAGTTAAGCAAGTCATTAAATAATTTTGGAAATATCACAAAATGTTAGCAAAATTCATATTTTAGATAAGATAAGGTTTTATTTGTCACATGCACAGTTTTACATAGTACAATGCACAGTGAAATGCATTCTTTGTACCTGCAGCCAGTAGTAAAGAAAAACATAATACTACTACAGTAAAACAGTAGTGATTGCACATAACACACAAGGTAAACAATATAAGTGTAAATATAAAACTAAGAAAAAAATAAAATAAAATATAGACTGTAATATAACATATAAAATATAGACTGTAGACTCCAAGTGTAAAACTTAGAGGGGGGTAGCTCGTATATATACACACACACACACACACACACATTTACAGTATTGAAAGCAGCTATGTGAGTAAAGTACAGTGGTGCAGTGTGTTTTTTTTTTAAGTCCAGTTAAGGCTCAGAGTTGAGCAGGCGGATGGCTGGTGGATAGAAACTCTTCTTCAGCCTCTCAGTCTTTGTCCTCAGGCATCGGAAACGCCGACCTGATGGCAGTAGAGAGAAGAAAGCGTGTCTGGGGTGACTGGGCTGTTTGAGGATCTTCTTCGCCCTTAACCTGCAACATTTGGTGTAAATGTCCTGCAGGTTGGGGAGAGGGGTTCTGATGGTCCGCTCTGCAGAACGGACCACCCTTTTGAGGGCCATGAAGTCCTGCCTGGTGCAGTTTCCCATCCAGGTGATGATGCTCCCACACAAGATGCTCTCGATGGTACAGGTGTAAAAGTTCCTAAGCACCTTGAGAGGGAGCTAAAAGTCTTTGAGGCGTCTGAGGAGGTAGAGATGCTGTCTAGCTTTCTTCACAATGGTGTTCAGGTGATGAGTCCATGACAGGTCCTGTGAGATGGTCACGCCCAGGTATCTGAAATTGTCCACTCTTTCCACCTCAGAGCCACAGATAGTGAGTGGATGGAAGTCCCTCTGCTGTTTCCTGCTGAAGTCCACAATCAGTTCCTCAGTTTTGCTGACGTTCAGCAGGAGGTGGTTCTCCCGACACCAGTCCTCCAGGTGGGAGACTTCCCTCCTGTAGGCTGTCTCATCCTCGTGGGAGATTAGTCCTACAACAGCGGTGTCGTCAGCAAACTTGATGATGATGTTGGAGTCTGACGTGGCCACGCAGTCCTGTGTGTACAGCGAATACAGCAGAGGGCTGAGCACACAACCCTGGGGGGATCCAGTGTTGAGAGTCAGGGGGGCTGAAGTGTAGTGACCCACTCAGACCACCTGTGGTCTGCCAGTCAGGAAGCTGTAGATCCACCTGCACAGGGAGGAGTCCAGACCCAGGTCAAGCAGTTTGGAGGCCAGTCTGGAGGGGACTATGGTATTAAATGCTGAGCTGTAGTCAACAAACAGCACTCTCACATAGTTTCCCTTACCAGTGTCCACATGGGAAAGGGTCTTGTGGAGGAGGCGTCATCTGTCCGGCCGGTATGCAAACTGTAGTGGATCCAGGGTGGTGGGCAGTGTAGAGGTGATAAATGTCTCGATCAAACATTTAATCACCACAGATGTGAGGTAGAGGTGGGCGATATATATATCGTTTGCGATAATATCGTCATTGTTGTTTTGACGATGTGACGATAATTTCCATTATTGAGTATTTAAATTACTTCGACAAAAACAATGAAACGCCCGCGGAAACTCCTCACATCCATTAATACACGGTGCAGCAGCGCTCTCTACAGCATGGCCGGATTCAGTCACACAACTAGTGGGCCTACGTGATCACATGACGTGATCACGTGACCTCTTGCTAGCATCCTCCTTGCAACAGTTTAGCAGCGCGTTGTGATGATAGAGAGAAAATGCAAGCACCTCTAGTCCCTGAAGCTACCGGTACGTCAGATGATTTAGTGCCGAGACGTGGGTCCTATGGGCTTCAGCGTTCAGAGCGCTAAGCGCCTTCAGCGGTAAAAAGATGTCAGCGGAGACGGGTTTTTTTTAGCGCAGCGCTCAGAGCGCTTCAAGTTGAAATCTGTTCAACTTTTAACACCGCTGGGCGCTCGGAAAATGAGTTTTTGAGCGCTCTCAGCGCTGCAAATGCGTTTGGTGGACACAAGTCCAGCTCAGACAATTCTAATCACATTTTAAAGGATATCGACTGATTATCGTTATCGCCAAAATCCCAAAAAATATTGAGATATTATTTTTTGCCCATATCGCCCACCCCTAATGTGAGGGCTATGGGCCTGAAGTCATTGGAACTGCTGGGGTGTGGTTTCTTTGGGACAGGGACTATTATGGATTTCTTAAAGCAGGTTGGAATCACACACTGTCTGAGTGAGAGGTTGAATATCACTGTAAACGGAGGTACCAGCTGATCAGCGCAGGTTTTGAGGACACGTCCACTAATCCCGTCTGGTCCAGCCGCTTTCCTGGTGTTCACACTTTTAAACACCCTCCTCACGTCACGCTCCGTCACGGCGGGTGTGTCCTCCCCTGACTCAAAGCGCGCAAAAAAGTTGTTGAGTTCGTCAGCCAGCGAAGCGTCAACACTCACCGGGGGGGTGTGTGCTGCTTTGTAAACCGTGATGGTGCATAGTCCCTGCCACAGTCCCCTGGAATCAGACTGTTCCATCAGTTTCTCCAGTCTTTGGCCGTAGCGGTGTTTAGCCTCTTTCACCGCTCTGCGGACACTGTAAGAGGCCGGCTTGTATTCCTCCATGTTCCCAGTGGCGAGTCCCGAGCTATAGGCAGCGCTCCGGGAACGCAGAGCGTCGCGGACAGATCTATCCACGCATAGCTTCTGGTTGGGAAAAGTCCTGATGGTCCTCCTTGGCGTGGTATCATCCACAACTTTTCCGATAAATCCCACAACCGCATCTGTAAACTCCTCGATGTCTCCACCCGCACTGCTGTGAAACATGTCCCAGTCGGCTGAATCCAGCGCACCCTGCAGGGTGGCCTCTGATTGATCGGTCCACCGCATCACTTCTCTCACTGCAGGGGGTTCCTGCCTCAGCCTTTGTTTGTATTTAGGCATGAGAAAAACAGCTGCGTGATCCAACTTTCCAAAGGGGGGGAGAGGTTTCGCTTTGTAGCCTTCTTTAAATGGAGAATAGCAGTGGTCTAGGGTCCTTACTCCTCTGGGGCAGTCGATGTGTTGAGTAAACTCCGGTATCACCTTTTTCAAGTTAGCACTGTTAAAGTCCCCGGCTACAATGAGGGCCGCTTCACGCTGGCTAGCCTGAAGGGTGGAAATCGCCTCATGTAACTCAGATAGTGCGTCCGTGGCCGCCTGGGGTGGAATATAGACGGCGCTGATGATGACTGAAGTAAACTCACGGGGCAGGTAGTGGGGACAGCATTTTACAGTTAGGAGCTCCAGGTTAGGCGAGCATGAGTGTTTGAGAGGGACAATGTTCCTACTGTCACACCAGTTGTTATTAACCATAAGGCACACTCAACCTCCCTTTGATTTCCCTGACTCACTCATTCTGTCCGTGTGGTGAACTGTAAGGAACTCCGCAGGTTGAATGGCGAAGTCCGGTACGAGAGGAGTCAGCCATGTCTCTGTGAGGCAGATGATGTTACAGTCCCGTATGTCCCTTTGTTACTGTATCCTGGCCCGGAGTTCGTCCAGCTTGTTCTCCAGTGACTGGACATTGGCTAGCAAAATACTAGGCAGTGGCGTGTGGTGTGCTCTTCGCCTCAGCCTTTCTCTTACGTCCGCTCTTCCCCCCCCCCCCGAAGCCTTCTGCTTGACCTGGGGCTCCAGCGTCCTCCTTTGTTTGTGTCGGCTCCCTGGCGCAGGATGTCTGGGGGCCACGCAGGGTCGGAAGAAAGTGGTCGTATAAAAAAGTTTGAGTACTGTAATCCAATGTTTGAGAGTGTCTGTCTGTCATAAGTGATATGACACAGGGTAGGTGGACTAAATAAATTAAAAATTAAAGCAAAAAGCACTATATACAAGGAAAGAGTCGGAGCAGGTACGACGGCTGCTGACCTCACCGGCGCCATGGGCTGCCATCAAAGCTATTGCCCCATTGTCCAATTTTTTAAATGTTTTTCCAATTCCATTGTGAGCCATTTTAGGTTGCATGCTGGGATTGTACTTGTCTAAACGTACTACATGATACATGCTTATAAACTGTTTATAATAGCTTGTAGGTGTAGCTGAAATAATTATTGTGATATTAAAAATATATTTTCCAGTATCACTATATTTTAGGGTACGGAAAACGTATACAAAACTACATTTAAAATAACTATCTCATCATATGCTGTTTGTAAAACAAATATTGCTAATTTTGTTTTTGCTTAAAAAAAAGGTCCAGCATGTAGAATTTAGTGGCATCTAGAAGTGTAGTTGCAGACTGAAACTCCCATGTTCCCAGTCCGAACATAAAAAAATAAAATAAAATAATTGTAAATCCAGCTCTCTATAGGCTATTAAGCATTATAATAACCATGGTGGTTATTAACTGAGTTGTTTATTATGGCATATCAGCTGCCCTGGCAGCTGAGGGCCAAACTTGCACTCCTTAGCCAGTGTGAGGCTGTGTCAGTGACAGTGCAGTGCAACGCATCAGAACTTGTCACAGGGTCAGTCAGAGACTCTTACATTGGGAGGATATGGTGGAACTATCTTTCTGGTCACAAAAAGAAGAAAAAAAACAAGAAAGAATTGCGGGAAGAGGACTCAGGGAAACTTGTGTTCTCTCAAAGTTTGATGTCAGTCAATAACAGTAACATTAAGTTAATGTGCAGCTTGCAGCACATCTCTCTATACACTGTCTGGCTCATTCCAAGCCAAGGTAACAAAAACACAACAATTTCTATATTCAGGTGATTATACAATAACGTAAACAAACAAATACATATGAATATTATATTAAAATTTTGCCTCCTAAAGAAATCCTGTTAATTGTTACACCCTGGATCTTTAACTTGTTTGCGTATAATTGCTCATTTGTAAAATGATACATAGATATTCATCCTTTCATTCTGTTGCATTTGCAGTATTATAAATTAATCCATCACCTGAATGGAAGTGTGTTTATGAATGTGTTTATTCAGTGAGTAACCTACACAATACACAGAGCTATTTAGAAAGCAATCTGTGGAGCTTGCTTTATGGTTTTTTAAAAATTATATTCTCATTTGATTTGACTCATTTATTTTTTTTAATTTATTTTTATTTTTTTGGCGAATACATTCTTACATATTGTCTCACACAGTTACATCTGAACTACTGATAAAGTTACACAACATATTTTTGAGACTTTCTATTCTCCATTTATCCAAATGTTGCCCTTCCAAAGTTTTTTTTTTTTTTTAAACAGTAGGGCATAATTAACTATATATAGTCGAACATGGGAAGCTCTTCACTCCATTTTTTTCCCCTGTATCTCCAGAGTTCTATGGTAAGGAATACAAACAACCACATACACATGCATATCTACATATATACCTAGGCACACATATCTACATATATCCACATACATGCATACATAAAACAAGAACAGAAACTTACATACACATCGTTTCTTATTTATGTCCATATCTACATTTCCTATTGTGTCTAGTACATAAATCCGTTAATTATGTCAACATCTCTTCAAACATATTGTCAAGTCCATTTAAAATCTGATCTAACTGATTTTTGACCAATTTCTTTTTATAATTTTGCAACATAGAGTCTAGCAAATTCATCAAATAATATAGGCATATGAGTTTCCTAGAGTAAAAGGCCACTGAAATGCCAACTTCAGTTAATATGTGACGTCACGGAGTGCTGGTCCGTGAAGACGCGCACGCACGATCCGGCAGGTGACGTCAGCTCAAGTCTGTGAGGCTTCACTGCTTCAAGGAAAAGTGTAGCGTAAGTCTGGATATCGATAATGGTTTGATAGTTGACTGTTAGATAGTGCCAGCTCGAACTCGCTGTTAGAGTCGGTCCGAAAAACGTGACAGGAGGCAGCACCTCCAGCTGTCATTGACCGCAACCAGCGACAACACACAAAGCTGTCGATAAACAAAATGGATCAATAGGCGGATAGCCACGGTAGAGACTCACTCTCTATAAACACGCTGTTTTATTTTGTCGACGTGTAGCACTACAATGTATATTTGACAGACAGCTAGGAAACATCAAGCAGGTAATTCAATAAACAGGATAACGGGTTTGCTAGCTAACTAACTAGCAGACATTGGCAGACTATTTGTTACTCTAACCTCAATCATCCTACCTTGACTTTGACACGGACCACCCCCCTCTCCTCCTCGCCGGCCATTTTAAAGACTCCGTTTCAGAACAGAACGGTTGTTCTGACTTCTGTCTTCCTTCTACGCCGACATGGTGATCAATAGTTCCTCTATATCGTGATCTTCTTCTGCTTTAATTTGAGTGTTTGCAGCTGCATTACCGCCATCTGCTGGATGTGCCTTTATCATGTCCTCACCAACTCTCAAAGGATCATGCTGGTGCATCTATGGAATACGGAAGCGTATTGCATTCACTTGAAAAAAAAAAACCTCCGGTTTTTGGTTTGTTTTTTTGAATAATCTTTTTCTGTTTTTCTGACAAAAGTTTTTTTTTTCCCAGTTTTTCTGAGTAATTCGTTTCCTGTTTCTCTGAAATTTTTTTCCCCTGTATTTCTGAGTAATTCTTACTGGTGACGTTGGATAAAAGGAAAAAAAAAATGCGTGGTCACACATTAGTATCTCGTGGCCACGCAATAACTATCTCGTGCCCACGCGTTATTGCGTGAATGATGAGTTCTATGACTTCCCCAACATCAGCATATGCCTTGCGTTTAAGTCCATGCCTTTTGAGCAGCCGAATTAAGTGTATCTTGCTAAGAATTACTCCATGCCTAACCGCAAGTGACTGAAGTATGTCATTGTAATTCATTCCTATATTAAAATAAAATAAAATTAATTCAAACTTGTCCATGTGAACGATCAACAGTCTCTGCAATAATTATCTCATGCCCACGAGATAGTAATGTATGGCCACGCATTATTATTTTTTTTAATCCAATGTCACCCGGGGGGGTTCCGTGCAAGAAACAGATTGATTTAAGACACTTTCGTTATCAGTCTAGGATAGAATGTTTGGACATTAGAAATACTTTCATTATATTTCACTGTTAAATCAGAAAATCAATAGAATTTGAACCTCTACCTCATGTCAGATGTTAATACTGACAGTGTTTGTGAATCTGCTTGTTACATTAAAAGGTATTTAACGTGTTTTTTTGGGGGGTTTTTTTACAAATAGAATCACAGGTTGCTGTCTTGTTTTGTACAACTGTCTTCAAACAGACTGTGTCTTTACTGTTGAGTCAGGAGTCCTGCTCTGTGAGACAGATATGTTTCCACCCACAATCTTAAAATTGGACATGTTTCTTTTGTTATGGGGTGCTTGTATTGTGAAATGTTAAAGTTATCAAATGTGTGTTAACTCAAGGAAAGATGCATGCCCTAATAAAAGATAATCATATGCTTCATTTGCTGAAAGTTTAATGACAACTGCATATCAACATAAATTTATAGAGTGACATTTCATTCAAATACATAAGGAAATGATGTGTGATCTGTTTATATGTTTGAGAGATGACATGATAATACACCAACTAATTTTAGATACATACATATTCACCAAATTTTGTTACATGTAATTGTTTGGCTCCAAAGTACATACAGTAAATGCACGAGAGAAACAAAAAACAGGAAGGTATATTTCCTAAATGCTACAATAAACAATAACTAAATATCAAAAGAGAAAAAGGTTTCACTGCTTGGTATTAACAGGTATTGTGTCTGTAAGGGCTTCATTTGACATTCAGCATACACACCATTGTGGACAAGATATTATAACCTGTTTGATTTATAATTGATAATGACTGTCCTTTTTGTAGGCTGCCCTTTTTACAATGCACCCAAGATTTTCCATTTTTTCACAACATGTAACATGTGATGCAATATTTCATATGCAGCTACTGGACGGTAAGCACTTATTTTGATGTGTAATCTTTCCATAATGAATCGAAAGAGGATATACAAAGCACAAAGGGGAGATGTCCATTAGTAAAGAGTTCACAGTTATTTACTGTTTAAACACAATACCCTACAGTGAAATTCATAAGATTTTCTTCCCTTATGTGGAGGCTTACATCCAGTCATTTGATCCAGTAGAGCAGGTTGTGATCATGAAATTTGAGCTCGTATGTAAGCACGTAAGAACATGTAAAGCTCAATGGCCTCATCTGGAGAGGTGAGTGGATGAAGACTGTTTTCTGCCATGGCAAGGCAGCAAATGTCAAACACTGTATCATCACAGGGATACGGTCCTCTCTGAAGGCATTCCTCTCTGCAGGCTTCTATCTTTTGTTGGGATACCTTTTTCAGGTACTCTCTGGCACCGAAAAGTTGGGGTAGGGTGTACATCATCACTGGGCGCCCACCTGGAGACACAGCATTTCTGCATGGGCGAATTCTGTGAGTGTTCCAGAGGTGAACAACTTCCTTCAGTTCTCTCTAAATATAAATGAAAATAGAAAGTGAGAAAATCAGGTCACACATTTGCTATACCAACTGCAGTACATATAATAATGCATTAAACTAGCCAGTAATGTAGTTCAAATCAGCTCCAACTTAAACATCTGCAATAGTAAACTATCATGCAATTAAAAACCTCAAAACACTGACAGGGAACATTTTATACTTTTCATACTTTAAGTACTTTGAATATATACAGCTGATAATACTGTCCTTTTACTTTAGTAAGGTTTTGAATATAGCCTACATGGAGTGAGCTCTTCACTAATATCAGTAGACCTATGATATTAGTACCACACTAAAACTAACCCACTACCCAGGGTGGTACTAACAGTACCACCATGAGCAAGCACTTGGCTACGGGGGCAAGGAAAAACTGCCTGTTAAGAGGCAGAAACCCTTCGGCTCTAGGTGGGTGGTCATCTGCCTCGACCAATTGGGGTGAGAGAGAGACAGAGAGAGACAGAGAGAGACAAGTAATTCTTAGCAAGACACAACACAACACACAAATGAGACTGATTTGCGGATGTCATCATGTCTTCTTCACAGGGTTTGCAGCTTTCCGATGACATCACTTTATAACGTTCCCATGGCAACAGGAGGAAAATGGTTGCTCTTGTGTGAAGTAAACGCAACATTTTTCAACTTTCTGCGAAGATATATGTGACTTTTTTGCAACGAGAATGCAGGGATTATGAAATCATGCAAGCCCCGCATATTTTGCGCGGAAATCTGTGATTTGTGCGGCGTCTTTGAAAATAAATAAATGTGTGGACTTGGGCTGATTATGCGTTGAATTATGCGATCGCATAATTGCGTTTTTCTGGAGGGACTGCATTTAGCATTACCAACAGTGACATGTCCGGCTTCTCTTAGACGTAAGCTCCTCCAGCCCGTCATAGCATTATTATTGACACTACACTCGCCATGACAATAATAACAAAACAGCATCACTGACAGCTCCATATGGATAACCATCCTGCTACTGAAGGTGAATTATCTCATGCCCACGCGTTATTATCTCGTGGCCACAAGATAGTTAATGCGTGGCCACACATTTTTTTTTTTTTATCCAATGTCACCAGGGGGGCTCCGTACAAATGCAGAAAAAAATACTCTTAAAAACAGAAATAGTTACTCAGAAAAACAGATAAAAAAATAAATGAATACATTTCTGACTTTTCCAAAATACAAAATGGCCGTTTAAACCGGAAGTAGAAATATTTCAACTCCCAGTGGCCCAATTTTAGTTAATTCTTCGTCAATTTCTACGTAATTTATATACTTAATAAACTATGCTTGCAATTTAGAATAAAGAGAGCTCAATGCCATGAAACTGTTCAGTCTTCTTATAATATTAAGATGTTTCTTCAGTTATGCTTGAGTTTTTTTGCTGCCCAACATTGTGTCATTGCCTCTGTAATTACTGCTGCAAGCTGAATAATGGCCACATGGACAGAACAGAACAAAAGAAGCACAGCTTTTTGTATGGTTTATTGTCTCTATACAAGTAAGTTGATCAAAAAGTAAAAGGAGACAAACTTACCAACAGTTACTCTATGATTATTCCATTGTAGTGACCACCCTCACCAGCTTAGATCCCTAGAGCAGTCTGTTGATGGACTAAACATCTAGTAAGGTGGATCTCAATGCAGTAAAGTTGGCTGACCCATTGAATGCCATCCTGAATAAATGTTTAAACTCCCATAGTGTCTAAAGGGGAGGGGAGAATCCTGAGGAGTAAAAGATTTCAACTCTGGTGTAATAGAAATATAGTACTCCAGCAACCCCTAGGTGACCCGGACAGAGTTAAGAACAGAGAGGAGGAGAGAGGATGAAGCAGTGCTGTAAGCAGAGTCTCAGATACGCCTCAGAGTCCTGGTTGGAGCAGTGACAATGGAAAGAGTTTGTCTGGGAACCTTTCCAACTGCCCAGTACAAGGCAAAGGGGAAGGAGAGCCGCATGTCAGTTGATGCTGTGACACTTGGGGGTGTGTTCCTTGTTTTTTGTTTCTCCTGTGGTTCTGTGTGTGGATATGTGTTATGCCTGGCAGTGAGCTGATCACCTGGTGGAGTTACACACCTGCTGGCAATCCTCATCAGTGACTGGCCTTAAGATGTGGGGCTTCCTGAGACTCGTCGCCAGATTATTCCTTACCTTCTCATGGTTGAGTACTTCAGGCCAATTTAGTCTCTAGAGTTTTTTTGGTTTGTTTCGAGTGAGTTTCTCTGTCAGGACCAGAACTAAAGCTTTGTGTTTTTCTCCCTTTTTTCAAGATTCCTGCACCTGGAGTGTTTCTGTGCTGTGGACCTACCTGCCCCTGCTCTTACCTCGCCCGTTTCAATACAGTTCCACTTGTTACTCAGTTCTTTGTGAATAAAACTCTTGACCTTAACCCGCCTTGAGTGATCTGAATTCGCACCCTGGTTCACAGTCCTACCAAACCTAACACCGCAGGCTGGTCCAGGAGGAAATAAGGGCATCAGTGTAGAAAAAGAGGCAGGGAGCCAAGACAAAGTAGGAGCAGATTGACACATTACATGGACTGATCCCTGGCGAGCTGTTTCCTCAGCGCATAAAGTTCCTGATTCATGCAGTGTACGATGTCTTGCCCAACCCATCAAACCTCTTTATCTGATGAAAAGCGTAATCCCTGCATGGTTGGAAATGCTCAGGCAAAGGGAGAGCACATCCTGAGCTGCTGCCGAAGGGCTCTTGGGCAGCACCAGTACGCCTGGCAATCAGCAACGGCAGACGAGCACGCCCCACCACCCAGACAATTAGTAAAGCCTGGAGTACAGCTGCCAAGGCCAACGGCAATAATTAGTCCTGGCAGCCTTCTGCAGACCTTGAGAAACAGTTTAAGTTTCCACCACATCACCACAACCACCTCGAGGCCATCATCCTGGTCTCA